AACCTTCTTCTCCGACTATTGAAGCTCGTAAGAGAAATGTTGAAGCCGGAACATGAAAGGAAAACACTGCGCAGGGTGTACCATAGCGCAGCCAGAAAGCCATATTACAATTAGTTCCCCCCCTCCCGCATTGGTGAGGTCCTCCAACCAAGGTTGAGGCAAGGACAGCCCAGGAAAAGCACCGTGCAGTGTGTGTTTAGTGCACCAACAAGTCCACATAACAATTGGAACACCCTTCTGCCACTCTTCAATTTTGTGAGAGAAATGTTGAAGCCAGAACATGAAAGGAAAACACTGCACAGGGTGTACCATAGTACAGCCAGAAAGCCATATTACACTTAGTTCCCCCCCTCCCGCACCGGTGAGGCCCTCCAATAAATGTTGAGGCAGACACAGCCCAGGAAAAAAACCACGCAACACGCACTACCTTAGTAGAGTCTCCAATGACCCTTGTCCAAGAAAAAGATGAAAAAACACACCTTCTTTTACGAAATGTGCCTCTTTTGTTTGCGCCCTGTCACATCCTCCTTAGACTGTGTCCTGAATGAATTGAAAGGCGTCTTTTTGCGTTTCACTTGAGCCAGATTCACTCTGTTATATGATTGACCTAGTGTACCCAGCAGGAAATATTACAATTAGACTGCCTTTCCCACTGGCCAGAATCTTCGGGCGCAGTGCAAACTTGCGATCAACCGAAAGGGAAATTGTAAGTTACATTTTTGAGGGTGAGGTAGAAGCATGGACCCTCACCCTCAAAAATGTAACTTACAATTTTTGAGTGCGCGCAGGCCGAACGAACACACACGAGGGTCAAAAATGTAACTTACAATTTTGACCCCTGTCTTGTGAGATGGAGGTATGTCAGACCTGTATGTTCAAATTTCACCGTTTTCCAAAACCTGCATTTTGACACACCCGAAATTGTAAATTACATTTTTGACCCCCCGGGTAAGGTAGTAGTGATTGTTTTCCTTCGAACTGCAGTTATCGTGGCAGGCGCAGCACTTTGGACATGGTGGCGATCGTCAAGGAGCTCAGATTTCGTGACAGGTGCAGTGAATCGTGACTTTTGAACATGGGCTCCTTTGCAGATTTCGTGGCAGGCACAGCACTCTGTGACCCTTGATGTGCAGATGCCGTGGCAGGTGGAGCGCTTTGTGAACCTCGAAGTGCAGATTTCGTGGCAAGCACAGCACTTTGTGACCCTCGATGTGCAGATGTCGTGGCAGGCGCAGCACCTCGAAGTGCAGACTTCTGGACAGGCGCAGCACTTGGTGAACCTCGAAGCGCAGATTTCGTGACAGGCAGCACTCTGTGACCCTCGATGTGCGGATTTCGTGGTAGGCGCAGCACCTTGTGAACCTCGAAGTGCAGATTTCGTGACAGGCACAGCGCTCTGTGACGCTCGATGTGCGGATTTCGTGGTAGGCGCAGCACTTTGTGAACCTCGAAGTGCAGATTTCGTGGCAGGCGCAGCGCTTTGTGAACCTCGAAGCGCAGATTTCATGGCAGGTACAGCACTTTATGAACCTCGAAGTGCAGATTTCGTGGCAGGTGCAGCACTGCGAACCTCGAGGTGCAGATTTCGTGGCAGGCACAGCGCATGGTGAACCTCGGAGTGCAGATTTCGTGGCAGGCACAGCGCTTGGTCTCTCAGATGCTCATGACTCTCTCACTCTCCCGCTTTCACTCACACTCACACTCCCTCACACTCCCACTCTCACTCTCACTCACACTCGCACTCGCACTCACTCTCCCACTCCCACTCACAGCCACACTCCTCACACTCACACCCACTCACTCTCCCACTCGCAGGCTCTCACTCGCTCTCACTCACACTGGCACACGCGCACACTCACACTCTCACACTCACTCTCCCTCACACTCGCTCACTCGGACCTGTTCCACCCCAAAAACGACTCAAAATTCATCCTCGAAGCTTCTCTATAGACCTCCCACGTCCGAACTTTCGATGCCAAACAGGGCGTCTGGATCACTAGAAAAAATAGAGTGGTAGTTGTTTATCTATTTTCTATTATTATTTTAATCTAGTCTAGAGTTCTAGAGTAGCAGTTGTTGGATCTGCGTTCGGAGCTCCCGGCAATCTCCTCCGCCACACAGCATTCCACAATCTCATGCCACCCCAAAAACGACTCAAAATTGTCCTCGCACCTGCTCTTGGGGCTCCCGGCAATCTCCTTCGCCACAGAATTCTACAATCTAATTCCACCGCAATTGGAGCTTCTCTCTCAGACCTCCCATGTCCGAACTTTCGATGCCAAACAGGGCGTCTGGATCACGAGAAAAATAGAGTAGTAGTTGCTTATTCTATTGTTCGATTCTATAGAGTTCTAGAGTAGTAGTTGTTGGACCTGCGCTCAGCTTTCCCCCATCTAATTCTGTTCCAAAACAGGCCTCCCATGTCCGAACTGTCGATGCCAAACAGGGTGTCTGGATCATTCGAAAAAACAATATTCTAGAGGGTCTGGATGACTAGAAAAGGATACGAACCTGACCTATGTGCCTTCTGCTCGAAAAAGCATGCGGTTAGCGTTCCGAAAGTTTATCCAGACCCTCTTGGCCTCTTCTGCTCACTGTTGGCAAAATTCATCCTAGGACCTGCGCTCGGAGCTCCCGTCCACAATCTAATGCCGTCCCAGTCTCCCCAAGCGCCACACTTCTTCTTTCCTTGTCACAGGATCAGTGGTTGTTTCAAAATTCTTGCCTAAAACACTGTGTAAAGATGTGTGACTAAGCTGCGCGATTCATCTATTTCATCTGGCTCATCTTGGAACAAAGTCCCTGCGGCCTGCTGGAATTGCTTTGCAGGGTAAAATGACATGTTGTTTTGTCACCTGGCCTTGTCAGCCTCTTCGGACTCAGAGTCGAGCAACGATTTCGCAGGGCGCTTGATAGGGCGCTCGAGCTTTGCTCTGCACGCAGGCCGTTTCATAGCTGTGGAGCCAAGAACTGTTATCATCCAAAAAGTAGAGGCTCAGTTATGCTCACCATGACCCAGTGAAAACGAAACACATCCACCAAGCTTCAGGCTAGATTGCAGGGAGCACATGCCAGGACTTTTCTGTGGGGCTGCAGTATGCCTCAAGTTTAAACACCGGTCTAAGAAAGGTACTGGTTTCTGCACAGCTGTAGGCAGTCGGCAATCTCCTTCGCCACAGCATTCCACAATCTCATTCCACCCCAAAAACGACATTCGTCCTCGGAGCTTCTCTCTCAGGCCTCCCATGTCCGAACTTTCGATGCCAAACAGGGCGTCTGGACCACTAGAAAAAACTAGAATAGTGGTACTTTATAGTTCTTTATTCTATTCTACTCTAGAGCTCTAGAGCTCTAGAGTAGTAGTTGTTTAACGAGCCTGGCCTATGAACTACGCCGTGCGATCTACGCGCGATCTTCCACGCGCCAAAAAGCATAAGGATCCAGACCCTCTAGAATACGAACCTGGCCTCTTCTGCTCAAGGTTGGCACTCCCAGTCTTTCTCTCAACGCGTCAGACTTTCTGCTGGACTACAATACCTGTATTCCCTTACGCGTCCTTGCTTGAGCCGGATTCGGCGGATATAATTGGTGGCTGGAAGCCGGGAACAGCTAGAAGAACCAAGGCTGTTTTGTGCTTTTGCTGCGCGAGGTGCTGCCTACTTTCCTTGTTATGTGTCGCCCACCACCGACAAGACAAATGTTGGACCTGCAAACTACTGTTTGCCCCGATTCCATCCGTGAAATCCGCCCGCGCCGGAGGTGCCGAGGGCGTTGCGTCAGCTCGTGTACATCCACATCGCACGGAATCCGGCTATAGATAAATCCCAAGCTTTAGCTTGGGGGGGGGCGGCATTTTTCTCCTTGAAATGCTGTGTTTTTCAATGTTTTTTGAAAATGGATCAAAATTGGACCAGACGTTGGTGATGCCGGTTATGCCGGTCGGGCCAGATCGCATAATTGACATCACAGACGTCTCGGGAAGCCGAGGGGCGCTGCGCTATGGATATGCGATGCCGGTTGTGTCGGCCGGGGGAGAGTGCATTACGGACATCGCAGAAAGCGCAAACGTCGAGGCAAACCGTGGGATACTGTACGATTGATATCGTGGATGTGTTCGGTGGACATCGCAGACATCGCAAACGTCTAGGCAAGCCGCGGGATACTGTACGATTGATATCGTGGATGTGTTCTGTGTTCGGTCGTGTGCCCAGTCCGACTGGATGAGGTGAATGGTATTGAGCATGTGGTTTTTGATGTTTTTTTGGGGGGAACGATCGCATGTGGTTTTTGACACAGAGACAGAGACAGAGACAGACAGAGACAGACAGACAGACCCAGACAGACCCAGACAGACAGAGACAGACAGAGACAGACCCAGACAGATCTAGACCCAGACAGACAGAGACAGACACAGAGAGACAGACAGACACAGAGAGACCGACAGACACAGAGAGACAGACCAGCCAGCCAGCCAGGCAGCCAGCCAGCCAGGCAGGCAGGCAGACAGACAGACAGACACCCAGACCGACCGAGACAGACTATTGACATCGTGCGTGTGTTCTTCCGTGTGTCCTGCCCGAACAAGACAGGCAGACAGACCAGACAAACAGACGCACACACTCCCAAACAGACGCACACACTCCGTGCGGGCGGCTTCGTGCGCGAAGCGCTGTGAATAACGGAATGGTTGCATGCCCCACCCGTGCACAGAAGAAGTGCGATCCGTAGGTCCAAGCAAAAGCAATTCAACATAGGTTGCGCAAAATTCAAGACCCCGGGAAGAAGTTAAGTAAAAGAACTAGGGCAGTGAGAAGCGACGACGGTGATACTTGTCAGATCAGAAATCATTTGGTGCTAATTCCCTTTTGACCGAGTGGAACGCTTTCAATTGGGCCATTGAGCCAATTTCACCCAGATCATCAATTCCAGTGCTATAAGCAAATCAAGCACACTTGCGCTGAGCATAGCTGACCCTTTTTCGATTGACGTGATTTTTGCAGGCTGCGAGAAGCTGCTCGTGGTGTTGCCTTGGAACTTTTGGTGCTGGAGGCGCAGCCTTGGCGGAGCGCCATTTCATGTTTTGGGGGTTGTATTTTGCAGCAGGCTTTGGTTGCTGGCGAAGGCGCCGAGCTTTGTCATGTGTTAGTGTTGTGGTTATTCAATATGTGCGCTCTCGCCTTGGTCAGGCAAGGTCGCACAGCCCAAGTTGCCACAAGACATGGTAGGAGCCTTGACAGATTATTTGCATTCGCTGCTTTGCACTGAGCTGAGACTCGGTGGTTGCTGCCTGAGGCCTGGGATGCCGACACGGAGGCATCTTATGTTCAGGAGGGCGCGCGACGAGTTGTGCGGAGTTAGTTTTCAGATTGTTTCCGTCTACCGCCGTTTACACGCATTCATTGCAAACATTTGTCCTCCTGCTAATTCTTTGCGCCCCTTCCTATTTTTGTTCGAAGTTGGTTTCGGTACAAACCACTTCTTGTTTGCTTAAGGACTTTTGCGCCGCGTCACTAAGTCACTACAATGCGCCGCGCCCACCGCAGATAATCACCAAAGGCCGCCACAAGGCAGGCGATAATCACATCAGAGATCATTGCAGGTTGCGCAGGAGTTTCTCATGCCCTGTGTGTTTCAAATTCGTGTGAACTTTTGCTTGCAAATTGTTGCAAATGTTCTCGCAAGACTGCCCGGGTAAGCCAGACTGATTCATCAGTTTGGAGTTTGATAAATATTTGGGAGACCACGTTATGCCAGATTTGGCTTTTCGCTTGAATCTGCATTGCCATTATGATTAGCATGCTGTTTTGTTCTTGTGTTCGTCGCCTTTCTTACCTTCAACTCCCGTTCGTTTTGCACCGTATTCCTCCACATTCAATAATGCTTAAAGGCTTTAAAGGTGTTCATTGTCCGCGGAAACGTAAGGATTACTCTATATTAGATTGTACTCTATTTCTTCACACAATACACACTGCTAATTTGCAAACCAGAAACGTCACCAAAGGCTAATACAGTATCAACATCTTTGTAGCAAGCGCTCCGAGTTTTTGTTCCTCGCCACCCGCATACACTGTTTTGTTCCTCGCCACCCGCATACACTGCTCGTAGCAACTGGGCAAGCAGACACACGACGAGGGCGTGGACTATGAAGTCGATGCATAGTGATGTTCTTTGAAAGAACCTACACCAGCAGGTGCGAGTATTGGCTTCGCCACGACCGATTGTCCAGATTTCGGCAATCTGACCAGACCCAGTCAAGTATATCCTTTTGGTTCCTGTTGGTGTCAGCCCTTTTTCATAGCATCAATAGTATCAATTTGAATCACATTTCACATATCATCTCACGTCTTCTCTCTTCCTTGACTCCTCTGTCTTAGGCAGAGGGCAGGGCAGACGAGACACCACGAAAGTGAACCCTCTGCGAGGACCAATCGAGCGCCGGAAGCTGAGGTAAAATGCAAATGACTTTGCCGGCACGACCCTTTGCAAGGATCATGCGTGTTCCGCGCTCGAAGTTGAGGTAGAAAACGCGCTTGCCAAAGTGTGAACTGAACATAGAGGCTGCGATGGCCAAAGTGTGAGACTGTTGTCGATAAAGCTGTCATCGAACAGGGAAGGTGGGCGTCACCAAACATGTGTGAGGTTGTCCTTGCCAAATGAAACTGCCGATTAGCAATGAAGGTACTTGTCACCAAAGCGTGAAAACATCGTCGAGATCTCCAAAGTGTGAATCAGTCGGCCAAACACAGCCCTGCGCACTTCTGGGGGTTCCGGGGTTGGCGGCTTTGTCGCGCAAGTGTACGGAGCCCCGACACCTGGGAACTCCATGGCATGTGGATTGGGTGCGCTCAGCTGCGGGCCGAGAACTGTGTAGAGATGTTTTGGCGCAGAACTGGGTTTGGAGCACCGATAGAATACGTGGAGCGACGTCTGAGTCTTGCAGGTTAAATTACGTTTGGTGGAAAGACTGCTTGCATGGCTCGCGCCGTATGGGAAACACGCGCCCGCAAATGCCGCGGAATGATTTGCGGTGTCAACGAGGCTTCTTGTCACATCAAACTGACCAGTAAGTGACGGTATAAACAGAACCGCGCCTGTGCTGTCGCTGCTTTTCCACGCGGGCGGGCTTTGGCGGATAGTGCGTTAAACGGCCCCTGCCATTGGGGAAGGGGCTACCTACCGACTCTGGGGTCAACGCATCTTGATCATCTCGAGTGATCGCTTCAATGATGCGAACCTTGTCTTGAGTTGTTGTCTCAACAGCTTTTGCCAAGGCAACTCGCTCACGGCGTAGTTCCGTTGGCAGTTCATCAATGAACGAGCAACGTTGCAGGCACCACGAACGGCTTGATCCCCTGTAAGCGTGCGCGGCGCTGGTGAGCGGGATGGTTTGCGGTGTCAGCAAGTAACAAGACTTGGGGTCACGTTGTTGCACCTAATCTAAACACTGGCACGCAGCGTGGCGAAGTGGGCGACATCGCCGCGTCACGCAGTTGGGCGACAGGCTTATGTGGAAAGTGCGTCTGCGCGGCTCTGTGCCTTGCGAAGTTGGAGTGTAAAGGTGGCGTTGGCGGCGAGGATCTGAGGTGATTGGCACGCTCAACAGGGCCTGGTGTCACATGGGCGCAGTGCATCTGGTAAATGGCTGACGCTGTGGGCTGCGGCCAAATTTTCGTCTGCGATCAACTTACGTCGAGGGCGTGGGCCTGGGTGTTTTGTTGCAAAGATTTTTGACGCAGACGTGAGTTGCAAAATACCATAAGCGTGACCCTCTCTTACACTTCACAACATGGGCATCACACGCAAGCGTGTGCACGCGGGTTGGCCAGCACCATTTTCGCATGAAGGCGGCAACGTCACACAGCGCATCAGTCACCTGCGCATGGTGCGATTCATGAGAACTTGAAGAAGCAGAGCAAGGACATTTTGATGTAAAGGTCTTTGGCATGGGTTACGAAAGCCAGCCTTCGCAGAAGGCGCCAGCTGAGTTGTGCTTGGCGAACGAACTGAGTAGGTAAGGGGGTCTGGGGGGGGTGGCCCGCAAAAGGTACACGTGAACTTGGCACATGCTGGGGCCGGAGGAGGGTGCACCGACGGAAGGTTTTTGAGGTTGGTTTGGAGGTGATTCTTTGTGATTATTGAGCGGGTGGTGATGCAAGAAATGCAAGTATAGCTTCGTGCAGCTGTGAGTGAGTAACATCTTTCAGAAGGAGAGCAATTATAAACGCTATATGCATTTATACCATGGAAGTGTTTTACCATGCAACTGAATTGTAGTTACCTGGGGTCCGTATAAATGCTATTGTGTTATGCTTCCGACATACCCAAATTTAGAGCACTAATGAGACTGGAGAGGAAAAAGTGCAACATCATTGGAGCACTGGATCATAGGATGTTTGATCGCAAGCCCGTCTTTCTGTGTAACCTGGCATTTTGTGTAAAGAGACACAGAGATTGTGCAGCGGTAGCTCTCCAGGGCGCGGAGAATAGAGGTATAGCACAGAAGACAGCGGCGCAGAGGTATAGCGCAATAGCATTTAGACGGACCCTGGGTAGCTACAGTTTAGAGGATATGGTTGGAGGCCTCGGGTGATGCCTGTACATGGCCAAGAGGCCGCGCCTAAAAAGATCTTGTCGCTACAAGGTTGATGTTGGGCCCGCGCGCGGGAATGTTTACCAAGCCAAATGCAAGGTGGCCTGGGGCCAGGGGTTTGCTGCCCTAAAACAACATGTTCAGGCTACCTCAAAAATGAAGATATGTGAAGCGAGGGTCCTTGGGTGTATATCTGACAAGGCGTCAAGGCTTCCAGATTCGATCACCTGAGGAAGTGCATTCGTTTAAGTAGACGGGTTTTCGTGCAAACTTCGAGGTGGCCTGGGACCAGGGGTTTGCTGCCCTCAAGCACTATGTTCAGGCCACCTCAAAGCTGAGTTGCGCTTGGCGAACGAAGTGAGTAGGTTGGGCGTCTGAGGGGGGTGGCCCGAGAAAGATATACGTAAACTCTGGGAGGTGATGCTTTGATGCTTTTGGAACGGGTGGTGACGCAAGAATGCATTTTTTGCTTATGCATCATCTGCATGTGGATGGGAATTATCTATGTGTGGCAAGAAAAAGACTTTAAACAGAATGTTTTTTCAAACGACATTCAAGGTGGCCTGGGGCCAGGGGTTTGCTGCCCTAAAACCATTGTTCAGGCCACCTCAAAAATGAAGACCAGATTCAAACAAGGATACCTGGCTAAGGCCGCTCCTAAAAGACCCGCTACAACAAGGTCGATGGGGGGGGCGCGCGCGAATGTTTATCAAGCTAAACGCAAGTCGCTGTTGGGTCCGCGCGCGTGAATGTTTATGAAGCTAAATGCAAGGTGGCCTGGGACCAGGGGTTTGCTGCCCTAAAACACTCTGTTCAGCACCTGTATCGGCTCTTGCTCTCCGGCCACACTTGAGCCAAAGACACCGGTGCATTTCATTTTCTCTTTAGCTCATCCCAAGGTTCAAGCATTGCCTCGGAACAACCATTTTAACACCGGTTTCTTTCTTCAGCTCCCTTGGCCTGGAAGACTGCCTTCGATACCTGAGAGGTGCCTATCTGAACCCCTAACGCGAAGTTGTCGAGAAAGGGAAGCGCTGGCTTTCGTTTTGCAGCTTCTCAGGTTTCACGCAAGAGCACAAGCTGTATCGGTGGCAGAGCCAGGAACAAAATTGCGTGAATGTCGACGCGTTGCACGCTCTTTTTGACTAGCAGACCTACTTGCTGTTTCTTTTTTCGCCTTTAGGCAGTCTGTGACACAATAGCATTTTCTGCGGGACATAGAAACTTGCGCACCATGTTTGTCGCCCTGTTCATTCTTGGAAACGACCACGATTTGAAAGACCGGGTCTCCCGGGCTTCGTTTTGTGTCAGATCCTGGAGCGCCGCTCCAGCCAACGTCGGATGTGGTTTCGAAAGCAGCGGGAATTCCTCTTACAGGACTCAGAGGGTTTACAGTGTGCGGCCTTGGTTTTTCAAACGGGATTGCGCCACAGCTTGTTGCACAGGACCTGTACCCTGGTCAGTGAACTGCCGCTGACAAGCGCGCGCTCCGGCTGTAGAACCGGGCAGCGATTTTGCTTCGAACCCTGAAGGGATTCGGCTGGAACAAATTGTTTTTGCTCCGGGCCTCGGCGCGCTTGAAGTCGCTAATGCGCCCTTCTTGCGCGGTTGTGAGCGGATTGACGGTGTAAAAGGGGCGTCGTTTCACGCGCAAGCTGACCGCTCAAACGCATTCGGCTTGGCCTATTGATTAGGGTCCCGTCACCTCGTTGGTAGGTTCAAGATGGCTCGCAGAAAGAAACGAGAACAAACACAGGAACACCTAAAAAGGTGACGGTTGATACAGCGTTTTTCGACGGCATTGATTGAACGTCAATCATGGGCGACGCTGATTGGTAAAAATTCAAGGTTCAAGGAAGGAAGGTTTTCACGGGGAGGTTTTGTTCATGTATTTCCGCGTCGTGCGGAAAGTGTTTCGATAGAAACACAAATACACACGCACGCAAAGAGAGAGAGAGAGAGAGAAACGAGAGCGAGACAAGAGAGGCGAGGAGACGAGGAAGTAAAGGACAGGACAGGACAGGACAGGACAAGAAAGAAGGAATGAAGGAAGGAACCTCCAAAAATGTAAGTTGCAATTTCGGAGACCTCCAACACAGTGGCGTGTACATCGGAACGCATCGGAAACAAATATGGAAACTATATAGATAGCCAAAGATACATAGAGGAAAGACAGTGGGAAGAACGTCCTTACATGACAAGATGGTTACTAGGAAGAAGGGGAAAAAAACGAAAGGAAGGAGTGAAAAACGTAGGAAGAAAGGTTTTAAAGACAAAGGCAAGGAAGAAACCTCAAAAAATAGCAGGCTAGACTGAGGCATCCAATGCCACGGTATTTATCTAGAACCTGAAAAGGAAATGCGAGGAAACAAGTTCGCCAAAGATTCGCGCCGGAAAAGCAGTCAATATAGTTTCCATGGCACCCCCGGTTAAACGGTAGCTAGAGAAAAAGGAAGGTAGACAGGAAGAAAAAGAGAGGAAGAAAGAAACCTCACAAACATGTAGTGGGTGCATCTATATAGAAACCCCAAAAGAAAACATATGGAAATTAGAGAACGAAAGATGCGTAAAGCAACGAATAGATCTTCCTTGCGTGGCCCCTCGGGTCATAAGCAATTAGGAACGAGGAAGAAACAACGGAAGAAAGAACGACATGTTGGAGGAAAAAGGAAAGAAGGACCGAAGGAAACAGCAAGAAACAAAGAAAGGGCAGAAGAAAGCAAACAGGAAAGTTATAATTTCGGAGGCCTCCAAAACAGTGGCGTGAACACAGGAACACAAATAGCAAAAGATACATACAACTGTCAAAAAACATTTAAACAAAAAAACATCCGTGCCTCGAGGTCGGCAAAAATGAGGAGAGGATCAACAGAGGGTCTCTATCATGTTGATCCTGCCGCCTTTAGTCGTTCGAGTTAGTGGGTAGTTGGAATCCACCTTAGCGCCTTATCAGAATATGTGGGCCTGCTCCTTGTTGACGATGGGCACCTTTGGAAGGGTGCCCCATGTTCTTGTGGTTGGGCTTCAACCCCATGGCCCAAACCGGTAGCGCCGCTGCAGTAGCTGGCGTTCCATTGTCTCCGCTCTATATGTGTTGAGCTCCGACGACCCCTTCGTGCTCAACCCCTGCTTTGTGAACGTCCTCCCCTTCCTGTCCGCTGCATCCCCAGACCAGGTGCATCGCGCCCTGTCACACCACGTAGACCCCCAGATGCACCTTTGGGAACCACAGCCACCTACTACTTCACGAAGTCAAGCAAAGGTTAAACCAAAGCGCCCAAGGCCCAAGAAGCCGCACACACGGAACGTGGCGCTAGCTCAGCGCTCGCAATGTGAACACGGTCTAGCGAAACTCTTTTCACCTGAAGGTACGCGCTTGTGCCTACAGGTCGCCAAACATGAGGGCAGGATCAACGGAGGGACCGCATTCACAGATACATACTTTAACCATCCAGGCTCCAAAGCGCAGCATTTGGCAGCAGCGCCCTGCAGAGACTCTCTGCAGCACTCTGAGTGGCACTACACACAGCGAGCGCCGCCGTAGACATCTCGCAGCAGCGGTGCCGCTGCATGGTGCCACTGCCAGACATGTGGCCGTGTGCGCTTTGGAGCTTGGGTGCTGGCGCTGCTGCAGGCAGCGAGATGTCCATGGCCGTGTGAGGACGTGTATGGCCATGTGTGCTTTGGAGCCTGAGCGCTGGCGCTGCTGCAAGGTGTGGTGGCGCTCCAGGGTAGGCTACAAAGCGAACGCAGGCACCTCTTCCTCCACTTGGAGTAAGAACCCCAGCAGGGTCGAAAATGACAGGAAGAAAAAATGAAAGACTGAAAGAAAGATCCAGAGAGACAAGAAAGGAAAACAAGGAAGCAACCAAGCAAGCGAGCAAGGAAGGAAGGAAGGAAGGCACCTCACAAAAATGTAAGCTAGACCTAGCCTAAAGCAATGCCTAGATAGGAACACCTGGAAGCTAGATAAGTAAAGATTCATACGGTTACCTTCCATGCGTGGCCCCTCCCGTAACCAAAAGGAAGAAGGAACGACAGGAAGAAAAAACAAATCGAAAAACGTTTGAAGGAAACAAAGAAACATAAAACCAAAAAAAACATATCCAAAGGGCAAAGCGAAGAAAGGTCTTTAAAAATGAATAAACAATCAAAGTAATGAAGAACGAGGAACCTCCAAAATTGTCGGTTAGCTGGCAAAGTGGTCTGAACTGTGGCAATCCGGCACTGTGGGCGAGATTTGTGAACATGTAAGCTACATGTTCCCAACCCCCGCCAGAGAAAGATGCAAGTTGCATTTTCGGAGGTCCCCGAAGGGCAGAGACGAAAAGAGAGGAGGGTGAGAGAACAGAGGAGAGAGGAGAGGAGAGACAAAAGTGGAGAGGAGAGGAGAGGAGAGGAGAGGCGAAGGAGGGAAGTGCCCGCATCGAAGCATACGCCTTCAATCGACATACGGTTCTGACATTTACTGTCAGTCTTGAAGGTTTGCAGTACCCACCAAGTTTTGCCCGCTATCACACCCACCGGATGTGATTACACAACGTTTCCTGAATCTAGTGTGTGTTTGGGCACGGGTGGGCGTGGGAAAATCGAGATCCTGCTGGTGACCGGGGTGGGAGACTCGCAGCACCTGCACAGTCCATCCACACAAGCTCTTCAGGTAGCTCTTCATGAAAACACTCCTGCACACCTGGATGGACCGAGGTGTAGAGTCTTGAGGTGCCAACCTCCGATTCGTCCCAAGCCGCACACGTAGTGGCCACGACGGGGGGACTTCAGACACTGAGTCATCCCCTTTTCGGAACTGTGGTATTCCACTTCATGCTAACCTGTGCAGGGAACTCCTTGTCCTGCCGCCTAGTTTGGAAAGGTGGAACATGGCAAATCAATCTTTGGCAGGATTGTTCTGCGCATTTAGCCAGCATGAAAAACAGCTGCTTGGGTTGATAGTTGCACACTTGCACAGCTTGCTGCTCAGATGTGGTTAACGGGGAGATGATTTCTGCATGCTGCTCTGAATGGCTCAGAATTCAATGCTTTGAAGTCCCCCAGTGCCAGTTCGCTCGGAGACGCAGAGTCTCAGCTAAACTCAGAGTGAGTCCTGGAGTTTTGACTCTAGTGAATTAGTGAATGAGTTCTGCGTTTTGCAACTGAAACGAAGAAGGTGATGTCCGCTTCAGATTTGGATAGAGCCTTGCATGCCACTGCCGGAGCCTTGAACTCAAGCTTCATTTCTCAGCAGCAACTGTTGTTCTCACTTTAGGTCCTGAAAAGGGAAGCTGTGAAAGAGGCTGAGTATCGTGCCGCTCGCCAAAAGCACGAGGAGGAGGCTTCATGGGACCATGTGGAACTCTTGGATAGTCTTTCAAGCAGTGCTTTCCAGTCCTTTGGTAAAGCACAGTGTTTCTGGAGAGGTCCGCCTTGGATTTGGTGCCACAGATATGACGAAAGAGGAACTGAAGAAGCTGATCGATAGCGTTTGGGTCCGAGCTAGAGAAAGGTAGGAAGGTCACAGAGAATTTGTGTAATTAAGGAACAAACAGGAACTTCATATTCAATAACGGTGTTTTCAGCTTTCATTCTTAAGGACAGACGCATGTACTACCGTTCTGAAGAACTAAATGACAAACTCTTCATCCAGTACAAGGCCTTCGGCGCTAGAGAAGCTCCTGGCCAGTGTCAAGATTTTGTCGATGGTTGAGAGAGCAAATGCGTCAGGGCTGGAAGGAACTGAAGAATCTTGAGGGCTGGACTCGAGCCGGTTGCCTTTTGACTGGGTTGCTTTGTTCGTGCTTGTGGTATTTCATTGCTTGAGAGGACTGGCCTGCGGGCTCTTTATGGCGAGTGCAATGCCTTCGATAGAATCAGTGGCCTTTCTTCTTGTCGGAATCTCCGTAGTCTTTTTCTCCAGGCTGGCATGTTGGCCCGTTTCTATTCGCCTTTCTTTGGAGATTTTGGAGGGGCTGCAAAAATAAGCTGCTAGCTTCTATATACACCAGCAATACCTGTTGGAACAATAACACATCTTTGTATACAATTTTCTTCTTGAAGGAAAACTGCATCAAGAAGCCGCATTCTCAGCTGGAGAGCTGATTGAGCTCCAATTGTTGAGCACTGGGTAGGCTTGTGGGCCTAGGATTGAGGGCTTGGAGGGCTGTCCACTTCTGTGGAACTTGAACCTCAACAATAATTTCATCGAAAGCTGGGACCTTGGAACTCAGTGTTGCCACCGGGGATCCTTTCAGATATTCTTGGGCAGTGCTAGAAGATTGGACTTGATAGATCTGCCGACTCACCTCTTTGTTTAGATGGCAATGGCTTGGGAGATGAGCCTTAGAATCTCACAGTCGAGAACCTCCCAAGCAAGCATTCTCGAAAGTTCAGGTTGTCCTGTCGATCAACTGACAGGTTAGAGCAGTCCTTTCTACGACCATGCATTCATGCATTGCTTTTTACTGCCGCAGTCAGCAAGCTGCCGGTAGACCTGCTCAGACCTAAACAGGCTAGGCCAGAGCGGAAATAACTTCGGACACGCATGACCATAAATTTGCAAGCGCATTTGTTACCAGCGACCGCTTCTTTTCTTTAAATATGTGTGATGTCAGAGCTTGTCCCCCATGCTGCACTGCGCAAGAATTGCCCAGCTCTCAAGCATGTGCAACCTATGAATGTAGTGTGGTTCACACAGACACAACATTACACTCCAGCCTCTAGTTACTTAGTTCTGAGGCACCTCTTGACATCATAACCAATGAAGGATATTACCATGAGATTGTATGAATCGGCTGAGGCGCCCACCAAAGAGCAAAGTTGAAAAGTGAGCACCTGACCACATTACGTTGGCACTCTTTCTATTTTTCCGAAGTTCATTCATGCAGTTTGCTGAAAAATCTGGGCCATCCAACAATGCAAGATATCTCACCCGTGCCACGAAATCTGCAAATTGAAAGATTTTTTGAATCTGTCTGAAACAGCCGGCCAACTGTTCGCACGATCTCAAAGGACACCACGCCTTGACTCTTGCTGTAAGAACCCTCTATAGGAGCTTTTCGCAGACAGGTTGCCAAACAAACGGTGTTGAGCAGCACGTTGGATTGAGTGCCAGCAACACTCTTCGTTTGTGTTGAGACCAACAATTCAGCATGTGCAGATTGATTTCTCAGCGCCAAGGGATAGAGGGGTTGTCGCACTTGCGGTCTTTGAACACCCTCACCATCCAGAGGAACAAGATCGGTTTTTCAGGCCATATGTTTCTTGTCATTCTATTCATTTCGTCCAGCTAATTCACAAAGCCAGGTGTTGATGATCTGGTCCATTTGGTCGAGACAACGATCTCAACCTTGGACGTCCAGGACAACAAGATTTGGGATCCCGATGTTCTTCCAGAGGCTGGATTTGGCAATGTTGGCGTATGTGGAATGCTGTGGACGTGGTTGAAGAGTTGGCCAGCTGAACTTGCCAGGTTTTTGTGCGGATGGGAGATTTGCGGGTGCTTTACCTGAAGGGAAACCCGTGCGCCAAGAAGATACCAAACTACAGAAAAGGCATCACGGCTGTGTGCCACAACCTGAAGCAACTCAGCTGCTATTGGCGACTCTCGGGGCAGGATGTGAGGTTCACACCTCATTGAGAGCGTGGTATATTTACTTGACAAACGAAGATAATGGTTGAGCATGGTACACGACAAGTCACAATGATATTTACTGTACTGTTTCCCTTTGTGACTGTACTTATAGATATACATACTGTTTTTTGTTCAAATAGCAGATAGAAGGTGATGAGCAAACCAGGAAGTCGAAACACCATAGCGTTTACTTGCAGGATAGAGTGTGCTGGAAGATGTTTTCTAAAAGCATGGTTTTATTCAATGGGCTTGTTTTACTCAGCGTTCACAGTGTTTTGATTGCACAAGACCTACCGCAAGGAAGTTGGCAGGCAACCCATAGGTTGTTTCTAGAGGTTTCTATAGGCAGCCCATAGGTTCCCCTTCATCTTGGGATTGTGGCTCTCATATGTCCAACCCTCCAAGGGCTTATAGGGCCAACCCTCGGAAGCAGGGTCCTCGGGGAAACCTGGCTTCCGCTGTGAAGCGGGCACACTATGGAGTGGCATGAACTTGTGCCAGATGAGGTGTGCCCTGGGGGAAAGCTTGATTGGGCTACCTTCGCTGGTGCTGCCGGTCTGCTGCTGGCTTTCTGCTGCTGCTGCCTTGCTGCTGCTGGTTGGCTACTGCTGCTGCTGGCGGTTGGCTGCTGCAGCTGCTGCTAGCTGCTGCTGCTGCTGGCTGATTGCTGTTTCGAGAAAAAGTGCTTGTTTCGAAGCGGTGTGCCATTGTGTTTTCCAAATGGGGTAAGTTCTTACATTCGTGGGGTAAGCAGTGTGCCATGGGGGTGGGTCAAGTTCATGTGCGATGGGGTAATTTACCACGTCGGGTAGCTCTCCAAATTGGGTTGACAATGGGAATTGCAGTTGAAGCCCTTTTTTGTTGGAAAGGTGGATCTGGAGAGCCTTGTTCTGCATGTGGCGTTTACAATGGGGAGGCCAGCAGTCTTGACTTAAGTGCTGACTTTTGCAAATGGGCGTTCCATGGTGGTTTAGTACCCCACCTGCAAAATGTATTAACTTCAACGGGCACCAGTATATACACAAAACATCATCTGGCCCACAAGTGTCTGTATCATATGACAACTACAACATACAAAGCACTCACAAAACACAAAAAGGGTGACAAGTGTCTGCATCCATCCTTTGCACTATATTTGTGTGTATCCATGTGACAACAAAAAACATACAAAACACCAGAAAGGTAGTTCCCAGGGCTAACAAGTTTGTGGACACGGACCCCTGTAGCACAGATGCTGGAGGCAGAGACTTGTAGCACTTGTAGCAAAGATGCAACCATGTAGCAGTGTGAGTTGTGTGCGTGAAAAGTAGACTTAGACGTAGTAAGTTAGACCCGCTGAGACGTTTTTCCAGCGATGTTCCAGTTTCGTTGAACGAAAAACCATCTTTCGACGGGAACCATTGGGCAACGGACCCTGCGTTTGCCCAAAGGTCCTGTCCCCGCTTCCAGTAACTACTCACACTGGGCTGAGCGCCTCTTTGAAGTGTCGCCAACAATGGTTTACGATCTGTGTCTTGTATGTTTCTGGATGTGCTGATCCGCTTCTGCAGACGGTGAGATTCTGAGCAAAGGCTGGACATGTACAGGTACGCATGAATGCAGACACGCAAAGACATCCCATTTGCAGATGGAGAGATGTGATTGCGACTGTGGGCTTCCGACATGACTTGTCCTTGGATAGCGCTCTTTTGGGCGCCCCGTTCCATGTGCCTCATGCAGTCAAGAGCGTACAGTAGGCTCCATGGTGGTCCACCATTGCTGCCCAATGACACGCATGGACTCGTGGGCCAGACATCCTCAGCCGCACAGATGCAACATCAATTTCTTGATGGTACCCTTTTCTTCATCAGCCTTGCCCATGGGCGCTCGAAGGCTTATATAGTAGGAGATTGTGGCCGGCAGCCCAACTTCAAGGTTCGTTTTCTTTCGGCGCAGTCGCCCATGGCGCGCCATTGAAGCCTACAGGCTACAGGCTTCTGGTGTTAGATGATTTGAAGGTAAAACTTGCCCAGCGTCATTCCAGAAAACGGTGCGTGGTTATTTTAGGCAAAGACTCAAGTGGTCAATGGCTCACTTTGTGGGCGCAGCCATATCCACTTAAGCTTTCCGCACTGGTCACGCACTGGTAGACCACGGGCGGTGACTTCAATTCAACTCAACAATGACCTCCGCAGTTTCTTTTCGGCATACCGCCTGCTCGATGTAGCTTGCAAAAAATGATCATGCAGTAGGCTGGCCATGGAGCATTTGCCGACACACGCACACATATTATATACTGTATTTATATATATATATATAGTTGTTTAAAATATACTGTTTGTAGATGTATTTATACACAATTTTTGTCATGTTTGATCTTAATTAGCAAAACACACCCCTAGCAAACAATCCAGGGGGGTTGAAGAGTATCGTCGTCGTCGTCGTAGTCGTAGTAGTAGAAGAGATAAGTAAGGGCTTGAAAGGGCAGCAATAGCAGAACAATAACAAGGTTAGTTTTTCCCGTAGGGCTCCAAGTTTGCTTATTAATCCCACCCCCTAAACAATTGATATTATTCACATACCCTGCGCTGGTGTACTACCCCCTTGAAAATTTGCTTGGCGCAATGAAATCGTTGAGTCTTAAGAAGCGTTTTTGAAGACGATTTCCAGGTCAGAATGCCATGAATCAAGCTGAAAGACCCCAGAGCTGTCGGTCGATCGTTTTTGCACAGTTCGACGAGTTCGGAGGGCATGTTCGAATCACGTAGCTGCCCATTGATGCACAAGCACCCAACTGAAAGGAGAAAAGATAGGCCGGCCGCTATCAGTGACGTTTAGCGGCCTGCGCTGCATTTCTGAAGAGTTGCAAGGCCTTGTGTTTGAGTACACTAGGTTATGAGCCCAAACAGCTGACCTAGAGCGCAAGAAGATGAGCAGTGGGCAGACAATGCAAACAAGAAGAAAGGCAACGCAAAAAGAACTCCAGCAAGGCCAGCGAGATATGCTGTTGGCCCAAAAAAATGGAAAAGGAAGCGGAACAAAGAGGAGAACTCCCTCTGGAAGACATTCCACAGGAACCAAAGCCAAAAGCTAAAGAAGCTGGAAAGACTCGGGAAAAGCTCAGTCGTACTCCAGGTTCGACAACTGTCCCGTCAACTGAGGACGGTCGATCTAAGGTGGCCAGCAGTTCAACACCTGTCAAAACACCTGAGGTGTTTGGACCGAAAGCGCCTGGGTCTGAAGACGCCGTCCGAGGGAAGGGAAATGGTTTGAAAGGAAAAGAGAACGAAGAAACACCAAAGCCGGTCTCTGCAAGTGGACTGGCGGAAGGAGCGCCTGAGAGCTTCGACCTTGCAACTCCACCTGGAGGCCAATAATATGCCGTTGTTCAGCAGGGAGCAAATTCGTGGTCTTCATGAAATGTACCGGCAAGCGCCTTGGCTGTACAGCACCTCACAATTCCAGACGCCCGACCCGTCGATTCTCGCAAGACCCGACTTTTTGCAAGAAGAAGAGAGAGTCGAGCTTGAAAGAAGAGAAGAAGAAGAGGAAGAAGAAGAAGAAGAAGAGCGGGTAAAAAGGCTAAAGAAAAGAGCCGAAGAAATGGTAAGTTTTGGGAGGGATCCCACAGAAGAAGTTTCTCGACAACTGCAATACCTGATGATGGAAAACCAGCAGTTGAAGGAAGACCTCAACAAGGCCTCAATGACGGAGGCGGAAGCAGTCCTTCATCGACAACAGCTTCGCCTGTTGATGGATGAAAATGTGAAGTTGAAAGGAACAGTGAATGGTTTGACAACGCAGGTCGAGCGACAAGAACAAGAAGTTAGTTGTTTTTGCCATCCCCAATGGAATCCATGATCAAGAAGAAGACCGTGGTTCCAAAGAAGGAAGAGGTGAAGCAGAAGCAAGAATCCTGACCCGAGCTCAACGGGGAAGGGAAGAGGGGCTTCAAAAAGGAAGTCTGGAACAAAAGGTGAAGAAGATGTCCATCAGCAGACCTTGACGGTGATTCTGAAGCTGGTGGAAGGCACGCAGAAGATTCAAGAGAAAAAGGTGAAGGGTGGTCATGGCAATGAGATCGACCCTAAAACTGTTCGATCGAGTGTCGAACTCCCAAAATTGGCCAAGTGGTCATGTGAGACGGGACCTATCGACTTCGCAGACTGGTTGCTGGTGCTAACTCCTCTCACCAGTGACCTCTCAGCATCTTCAGAAGAGTGGTGGAATATGAATGTAGAAGAAGCCCGTGAGTGGTATAGGTTGCACCTGTCGAAGACACCTTTTGAGCGACTATCCCATCGAGCAGTTCCTAGCAGCAAGCTGCAACAAAAGAAATGGGGCAGGCTCGAACGACGAGCCGCAGCTCTCCTCCGTGGAGCAGTGCCTGAAGCTCTTCGAGAAGAGATTGCGACAAGCAAAAGCCTAAGCACCTTCGGTATCCTCACGAAAGGAATGGTGGCCTACCAACCTGGAGGGCTGACAGAAAGACAGGCGATCCTAGCAGCGCTGGAAGCTCCGTCTGAGCGCGCGACCATTCAGAGCGGAGTCCTAGTTCTTCGAAGATGGAGTGTGGAGTTTCCATCAGGCCCAACGATCCTGGCAAGAGGATTGAGCCGAATCACCAGCTCGTTGCTTGTGGACTCTATTCTGACTCACAACTCCATCACGAAGTACAGTGAGCATGTCCTGGCAGAGCTTGAACAGCTGGGGCATCAATCCAAAAGGAAGGAACCTGGAGGGGGAGCTGAAGTTCCAAAGATCAAGAAGTTCGCAGAAAGCTCAACCCAGAAGAAAGAAGGTGGTGAGAGAAGAGAAGCCACTCACAAGGACAAAGAAAAAGGTCGATGCCATTTTTTCTTGTCCGACCAAGGTTTGCAGACTTGCAGAAGAGGAAAGTCGTGCACCT